TTAAATAACTGTTTTCTATTTAAATATATTTTAAAATGTAATTTATTCCTGTGACGGCAAAGCTGAATTGTCAGAAGCCATTACTCCAGTCTTCAGTGCCGCGTGAACATTCAGAAATCATTCTAATATGCTGATTTGATGCTCAAGAAACATTTCTTATTATTAACAATGTTGTAAACTGTTGTGCTACTTAATATTTTTGTGGAAACCATGATATCTTTTTTCACTTTTGATCAATGTGTCCTTGCTGAATAAAATAATTTTTCAGACCCCAAACTTTTGAAGGGTGGTGTATATTATTATATTATTATTAAAAGCACTTTAAATTAAGCACCTAAATAAGTGGACATATTTCCAAAATGAACACAAATATTTACACTGAACATAAAATATAAAAGTGAGACTACATTAAAACCATCACTGAGGTAACAAGGTTGTTTCTTTCCTCTACAGTGATGTGTACCACACCAAAAAGCAGCTATCTAACTTCCAGGAGATGCTAGAGAACATCTTTATGCCTCTGTTTGAAGTCACAGTTAATCCCAGCAGCCACCCACAGCTGCATCTCTTTCTGGAACATGTGAGTGAACTTTTAGTAATGTAGTAAACCTTGTTTTGGTGTAAAATTATATGTAAATGTGCTTCTGAGGAGTGGAAGCATATTTGATTTCACACTCCTTTTTCCCAGTGGTTAAAGATCTGGCCTGGAAACCCATAGATTCAAACCCTTAGCTCATACATGTACAGTATTACTGTCTATATAAAAAGACTGTAAATTGCTTCATAAGGTGCTTCAGATAAGAAAGAGTCTGCCATTAAAGTTTAACCTTTGTGGTTAAATCAAACGTCCTACTTTACTCCACAAAATACATCCATCCCTATACACCCTGTGTATTAAAATTAGACTGTCAACAAGTATGATCACAGTTTCATTGTATTGGAAGACTGAATGAATGTTAATGTGCCCATTAGGTTGTGGGGTTTGATAGTGTGGATGATGAGTCCAAACCTGAGCATCACATCTTTAACCTGGACAGTCCAAAACCTGTGAACTGGACAGAGGAAGACAATCCTCCATACTCATATTATCTGTACTACATGTATGCAAATATGACTGTACTCAACCACCTGCGCAGGTATTTGATGCACCCAAGTACACATTTTCCTTACCACAATACATCATATTAATTAAGGTAAAAATGCATGTATTTTATACTGATTCCGATTTTCTTCTTTGAAAGATGGATTAAAACCAATGTGTAGGTTACTGAATTAAGATGTTTTGGCTCCAGGATTGTGGTTAAATGTCATCTCTTTCTACAACAGGCAAAGAAACTTGAATTCGTTTGTATTACGTCCACACTGTGGAGAGGCAGGGCCTATTCACCACCTTGTGTCTGGATTTATGCTGTCAGAAAATATTTCCCATGGCCTGCTTCTGAGAAAAGTAAAGAAACTTTACATACTTCCACTGAATTATGCGTGTTCCTTGTAAATCTGTTCTGCTCAGATATAAAGAATGTTCATATTTTACTTTATTTTTTTTTCTTCATGATTTTGTATCAGCCCAAGGCCATATACAAAAATAACAAATGCTTTTTGAAAGGTACCAGTATTCAACAGCCATTCAAACATTGATATCCTCTCTTCAGCTTTGACCTATAGTGAACAATATTTACATATTTTAGAGCTAATATTCTTATCTTAAGACCCACTGCAAACAGTTAAGAGCTTATCGTTCCACCCAGAGCTTTAGAGCGAGATGTTTGTGTATTTTCCTCAGGCTCCTGTACTGCAGTATCTGTATTACCTGGCTCAGATCGGCATTGCCATGTCCCCACTCAGCAACAACAGCCTTTTCCTCAGTTACCATCGAAATCCTCTGCCTGAGTACCTGTCTAGGGGCCTCATGGTGTCTTTGTCCACTGATGACCCACTGCAATTCCACTTCACAAAGGTTACAAGCCAAACTATACCATCAGATATTAAAATGGTTTTAATTACATCTGTTATTTCTTGAGTTAGGCCTGTAATGTGTTTGACCTAGTGTGTGTGTGTGGCTGTTCAGGAGCCGCTGATGGAGGAGTACAGCATCGCTGCTCAGGTGTGGAAGCTGAGCTCATGTGACATGTGTGAACTGGCCCGAAACAGTGTCCTCATGAGTGGATTTTCTCACCAGGTGCTCACATCTACACATACACCTCTGTTAGCAATGGCAGAAGTCAGTTTTGTGTTGTTTAGTAAGCTACACATTTTACTGTCACTATTTTGGTAACACTTGACTGTAAGGTTAAATTTGTTAACATTAAAGCATAAGGTACCATGGCCTAAAAATGAACCATTCTCTAAAATTTTATATTAATTTTGTTAATTTCTACATACACTACTGTTATTTTAATTAATACTTTTATTTAGCAAGGATGCATTAATTGATCATAAGTGACTTTCAAGTCGGTGCCGATAGCCTCGTGGGAGCGGGTTGACATATGGCACAGTTGTGCTTCGGGTGTCCCGAGTTTGAATCCCGCCTCGTGGACCTTTCCCGATCCTGTCCCCCTCTCTCTCCCACTCACTTTCTGTCAGATCTCTACTGTCCTATCAAGAAAAATAAAATAAAAAACGCCAAAAAAGTGACATTTAAAATATTATTCTATTTACAATAAATGCTGTTCTTTAAAAATTATATTCTTTAAGGAATCCTTTAAAAGAATGTATCACAGTTTCCACAAAAATATTAAGCAGCACAGCAACATTTGATAATAAGAAAAAAAAAAATTCTTGAGTAACAAATCAGCATAATAGAATGATTTCTGAAGGATCATGTGTCACTGAAGACTGGAGTAATGATGCTGAAATTTCAGCTTGTCATCACAGGAATAAATAAAAAACAGTTTATATTGTAATAATATTTCACAATATTACTCGTTTACTATATTTTTTGATCAAATAAATGCAGCCTTAGTGAGCATAAGAGACTTCTTTCAAAAACATTAAAAATCTTACCAAACTTTTGAATGGTGGTTCTCAACTGATGTGTCGTGTCCAACAAATTAATTATGGAAAGCAGGGAAAAATAATTCTTTATTCCTCACTGAAATGAAACTTTTAAGACTTTCCGCTTTAAAAAGGGAGGATAAAATAGTTCTCATATATCTTGTTGTTGTGGCAACCAATTTGGTTTGTGCGTCCAAACACAACAGTATATTGGCACAAGTTTATCTGTCTCTAGTCAAATTACAGTAGTTAAAAGCCAACACAAGCAGATTGCATAACATGACCTCATTCTCTAAAACCCTGACCAAAACTACAGTAAATAAAGAAAAATATGACTCAGATTACTTTACATTATATATGGCTTCTTTTGCATTGAGGATATGGCATATGGTACAATAAACAGTTTTGGCACTTTTTTTTGGTCACACTTTATGTCCAGTGCGCATCCTGAAGCCAAACCACTGATGAAGACAATTAAAATACAAGGAATCAAAGAGAAAAACATGTGATTAATGCATGCAGATGTCTTGTGTCCAGGTGAAAAGCTATTGGCTGGGGCCGCATTATCTCAAAGAGGGGCAGGAGGGCACCGACATCAGACGCACTAATGTTCCAGACATCCGAGTGGCGTACCGCTTTGAGACGCTGTGCGAGGAGCTGAATCTGATCACCCAGGCTGTGCGGTCAGAGGAGCTGGAGACGGTTGAAGAGCAGGGCTCCCTGTGCATGGGTGCCGGACGTTAGCAGTGTCATACTCTCTCAGTTATTCACCCAGTACAGAATGTGAGTGAAAGGTTGATTCAGGGAAATGTGGCACAGTCATACTGTGTTTGATTCCACTGGTGTTCAACTAATTTTTTTTTTATTCGACTCTATTTAGGTATTTGCTAGAGATATACTGTTGTTTTTTTGGTTGTGAAGTGCAGGTTTAAAGGCCTTAAAGGAATCAAAGAGAATTTGCACCAAGGAAATGCCAATGTTGTGTTTGACAAAAACACATAAACATTTTCAGAATACCAACTGGGAACACTTACAGTATGTGAACTACTAGAAGGCTCCAGATATCCAGTCAAGCATCAGGAAACCCCAGAAATCTCCCCCACTGTTACTGTGGACACTGTCCTTAACCTGCAGTCCAGCATGAAATCAGTGAAATGGTTTACACTATCATAGATTATAAACATTTGGTGTCGCTTGTACACTTGCTCTGAACACTAACAGCCATAAACATTTGTTCTTTGGCTACTGTGTGTGAGCTCAAGTACCTACGCACATCTCTGCTATGAGCCGTCAACATCCTGTTATTTTTAAATGGATTTTTATCTCCTCTATATTCTTGATTTTAACAGGTTCTGTTCTAATAAGTTTATTATTGTGATAATTATTTTATAGTGGTTGTATCCTTTGTCATTTGGCCATTTTTATGTGTGTCTGTAATTGAATAATTATTAGTGCTATTTATTGTAAATCAGACATGATAATATCAAAGTCAAGTTTATTTTTCCGCTGTATTCTGTATCTCAAAATTAAAATATAATTCTGCGAGTCTGTGGATTTAATATTGCATAGATACTATTCACTGTATTTTTCAAAGCAGAAGTAAGCTGTTTCTTAGGAATGCGCAAGACTTCTGATTTTTTTTTTTTTTACTGATATACAGAAATAACTAGAGGAATAACAAAGTAATTAGTGAAACAATTTTTGCTACAAAGCAGTGTGTTTTGAATTATGGTACATTATATATGATGTAAAAGCGTTCTAAACTAGTTCTAATTCAATGCCTTATTTAGATATAATAACAAGAACAAGTTGGCCTTTTGGTCCCAATAAGATATTTTTTCTCCCTTCGAAAATGCTAAAACATGCAAGCATGCATTTAGAATGCACATCGACCTATTGGTTGAAAATAGAAATGAATTTTTTAATATTATTTAGCATGAACAGAATACTCATAACGTGACAGAACATTCATTTTGTGGGTGTATTATCTCTTTAACTTGAAACCGCACACGCCCCCTCCTCCATTCCGCTGCTCCTGCACCTCTTTTTGAAGCACAACGGTGCACTCTTGTTGCAAAATGGCAATGAAATTGGCATACTGGGATATTCGTGGGGTAAGAAACAGTTGTAATTTTTGCATTCCTATTCTATTCTAATGTTGCATAGTTAGACCTTTAATTGATTCATATTTGATTTCTTTGTCATTTTTGCTTCATAACTTCGAATAGAATCGAAGTCACTGTGGTTTGCCGTGTCTCAAAACGGTCAAATCTGCATACGCTCAGCTTGTTTAAACTCACATCTTTGGTTAGCGATAAGTCGAAAGAAATGAACTAACGTAGGCCGTTACTCGGCCAAGTTTGATTCTGGTTTAGATAGAACGGTCGTCTGATGTGACACTGACCTGAAACATAAAAACTATTTTTTTGTGGGTATTTTATGGTCGATTCTTTAAAATAAAGTTTTATACCTAAAAAGCGTTCACTGTTTGTCAGGAGCGATTAATAGGAGTTATGAATGGATGCGCTTTAGTCGTTTAGCGCGTATCGTGCTCGCCAAGCCCACATATGCTGCTATTTTACTATTATGTTAGTTATGTTTATCTAAAGTTACTGCAGCTTGGGTTTGGTTCATTTACACCCCGATATGCGAAATTACGTCGAAAAACGTGCTGTATTCTTTGAGTTCACTTTGTTAAAGTTTTAACTTTGGGTTATATAAACGTCATTGAGAGCTGGTTTAGGCCACTTTGCCAGAATGTTACTGCGAGTTGTCAATAAAGAATGAGAATGTGACGTAACGCCACGTTGAGTTCTTGTTTATCCGCCATATTTGCAGGATAGCGCTGCCTTTCCGCTATTGAGTTTAGGGCAGTATTTGATTGTTTGTCGTGATTGTGAAAAATGTCACCAGTGTATGTCATTCATACTGCATCGATAATTGCAATAGTAACTCAGATCATCGTTCTGAGAGAAAACTGGACAATGCAATATGTTTTTTTGCCTTTTCTATGTGTAAAAACACCAAGGGAAGGAGGTCGCGGTCTTTGTCAGTCACGTGCGTTTATTCTGTGTGACGTCACCGAGCCGCCATTTAGAAGGTATCGTTGCATTGAGCAGTGAACTAAAAGTGTACAGAGCCGTGCAGTAAAGACCGATTAAATCCTCATACTGGAGAAACAGCTGCAAACCAAGTAGATACGGTACCGAGATAATCTCAGCAAATTTTTTTTAGGAACCGTAATTTATGTAATTTGCCAATGATGATCATTAACAATTAACACTGATCCATACTAACGTTACCGGCCGCAAAAAGTTGAGTGCCACCGGCATCGCTGCCTCCAACCTCCTAGGATATATGATTATCTTGTTTACAGTATAAAAACTTATATGTTCCGTTTTTGTCTACCATTGATTTGCACACATAATTTGCACAATTGTAAGTAATTACATCATGTGAGTCTCTACCATTAAACCTTACCCTGTTTGTTCACAATTTTCCGTACTTCATTTGGCTGATAACAAGTACTAATAACAAGGAGACAATATAAAAAGTACAGTGAGTTCGTGACTGTTCGCTGAATGTGACCCACAATCTGTGATTCTCCTCCGTGGCCATGGAAACATTAATATTTATAATGACAACAACTATACTTTGTCATTTAAAACTTTCCAACAAAGAAATGGATGGACTTCTGTCAGCTCGTTGAACACACTTTTATTTGGATAATGTACCGTATGATGACTGAAGCAGCAGCGGGCGACACTGTTTTCACGCTAATCGGGTAAACACTGTAACGTTAAACAAAATTCTACCAAACCTAAGAGAGAAATGCAGTGCATATCATGCAGTGCGATAAAATAACTTCTCTTCCCTGCAAACGATACAATGAAGAATGAATGGTTGTTTAACTTAAAGGCAAAAACAAAACAAAAGATAAGCACTTATCCTTATAGAGAATGAGAAGTAACCATGGGAACGGATAGCGTATCCTGCTAATATGGCGGCGCCTTCCCGAAATGCAATGCGGAGTGAAAAGATCGTGACGTAACTCCTCATTCTCTATAACAGCCTCGGAACATTCTCGCTTCTTGTTTCTTCTCCTTAATCACTCTGACGGAAACCAGTAAAAATGTCGAACTGGAGTGTTTAAGATCATATTATTTTACTGTAAGTTATGTTTCAGAGGACTTAAAGCAACTTGACCACATCTATGTCGCAACATTTCCACAGCTAGAAGAGTATGCTATTAATCCTCTGGTGCGGCTCGCGTGGCAGTCAAAAATTAGCATTTTTTAAATTTATTTTAGATACTGAACATGTTTTTCATATTTTGCTTTTTGGGGGATTTTATGGTGCTAAATTATATTTATGAAATAGTTGTGGTCCAATTATTATCTGTTTACCACTTTTTGAACATAGACCTGAAAATAAAATATCCAACTTACATTGACGTAAATCCTGAATTCTTTGGAGCAGACTTAAGTTTGGTCTCTTTTTACTGAAGACACTTGGCAAATTATTAAAAAGCGAAACAAAAAATAAATGTATTAAAGAGTGAAATGTTATATCATTTTAGGTATATTAATATTTTAAAAAATTATTTATTTATTTTTACAATTTTTATATGAAATACATATTTTCCAAAACATTTTTTACTCTAAAATTACATGAAAGTAAAAGCCATGAATCTAAACAAGTTGTGTTCCAAATTTGATGTTGATGTCTCAAAAAATTAGCTTTCCGTAAAATTTTGTTTGGAGGCTGTTCCAAACGTTTCCACTAGATGTAATTTGCTTCACATTAATTTCCAATGTGCTAATTTTTGACCGCGATCAGTACAAGTGTGACTTTTTTGTTTCATTTAGCCTAATGTTTTGGAATCATATCCATTTTTTGTGTGTGTGTTCACATAGCAAGTGCCAAAACCTTTACCAAGTTTCGTACCATTCCAATGAAGTACAACATTCTAAAACAAAACTTTTTCAGTAAAAAAAGACCGAACAGTGCCAGAGGGTTGAACTGGTTGTGTTCTATTATTTGTCTAATCAGTGTTATTCACCTTACTAATATGAAAATAAGAACATTAACCCAGGGTTTATGAATATGCTGTGTGAAATATCAACCCTCAGTTAATCATTTCAAGAGTGAAAAACATTTTACAGCTGCTGGAATTATTTATACTGAATGTTATGGATATCATTTAATCTGATTACAGCTTGCTCAACCAATCCGTCTGCTGTTGGAATACACTGGTACCAAGTATGAGGAGAAGTTCTATTCTTGTGGTGACGGTAAGTGATGACTATTATAACATACAGTAGCAGACACAGTCAGATTGTCCATATAAAAGCACATTGAGCTGATTCTATATTCTTGCTTTGCAGCTCCCAACTATGACAAAAGCTGTTGGTTTAATGAGAAAGAGAAACTTGGGATGGACTTTCCTAATGTAAGTTACATAGTTACCCACTAGGGTTGGGCGATGTCTACCAAATTGGTATCGGACAATGTCTGCAGTGAAACATTACCACATACACAGAATAAGGAGAAATGTCTGATAGGAAGATGGCGAATGATTTGCAGATCCTGAGCACCAATGGCAAACATCTAATCTTGTCAAATGTGTAGTGAGTACTGCCGCTCCATAGTATAGAGTCCTAGTGATTGCGAATCTCGAAAGTGAAAGTAAAATGAGAGCGCGCAATCGAAAGCGGTTTCAATAGCGGCTCCCTGATGCCCGCAATTTATATACAGTCACCTATACTTATCCAACGACATAATTGCGAGAAAAAGTATTGAAATGTTTTTTTTTATCCTCCCATCGCGTAGGCTATTTATTCCCTTTAGGGTTTCCGTAGTACACTTAATTTCCTTTCCAATCACGGAACTGGGATGAGGCGGATTGCGGAAGAGTGGGTGGGGGGAAGGAATCACAATGTCAGCTTAACATCGTGATGGCTGTCAGCCATCGGCGATGGACGATGGCATCGTCTATCGGCCCAACCCTATTACCCACATAGTGTTGTTCATTATAACATGCAATAACTAACCACCATCATCCTTCACCAGTTGCCCTACCTAGAGGATGGAGACACGAAAGTGGTCCAAAGCAATGCCATATTGAGATACATCGCCCGCAAACACAACCTCTGTGAGTACTTCATTCATTTATTCCTTCATTTAAAAAAAACAAAACTTTATTTTCTCAAGCATCACTGAAAATAGCCATCCAAGTAATGTTAAACTTCTCTTTCTAACATGTTTCTAGGTGGGGAAACTGAAGAGGAGCAGATGAGAGTTGACATCTTGGAAAACCAGGCAATGGACTTCCGCAATGGTTTTGTCCAGCTCTGCTATGGAGACTTTGTAAGTGATTGAATATATAGAAATATGTACAGCATTGAAGAAATTTGCAACTAATAATATGAATTTACTTGTTAATTGATAACACAAATGATTTGTAATGCATTTGTACTTGATTACAGGACAAAAGCAAATCATGCTACACTGACAAACTGCCAGGGACGCTAAAGCAGTTCTCTGACTTCCTTGGGGACAGGAAGTGGTTTGCTGGGGACAAGGTAAATAGGCATAATGTTTGGAAGCACTTTAGTTTGTCCATTTAAAGTGGCAGGATATAAAAGTATATTTAATAAAATAATTAGTTTGACATGCGCATCCTATTTTCTCATCCTGTAGATCACATTTGTGGACTTCATCATGTATGAGCTGTTGGATCAGCATCGTATGTTTGACCCAGCGTGCCTGGATGACTACAAAAACCTTAGATGTTTCCTTGATCGCTTTGAGGTTTGGATTCAGCTTTTGTCACACGGAATGATTTGATAGTGTCACCCAAGTTGTAATGATAAAAGATCAACCATATTGTGACTGATATGAATTGTGTTCCCTATCAGAGTCTTGAGAAGATTGCAGAATACATGAAGTCAAACAAGTTCATGAAAACACCAGTGAACAGCAAGATGGCCAAATGGGGAAACAAGAAGGAGTGAAACTAACAAGATTGTGTCTTGATAAAGCATAATAAGTTGCAACATCATCTGCTTTGGTTATAAGGTCAATGCAGTTGAATTGCACACTGATAATTTTTTTAGAGAAACCCAATTTATTAAACCTTTCAATAACTAACAAAGCGAGACAGTTATCATTAGTATTGATTACAAAAGCGTTACAAAACAATCAGAATTCTCAGTTGTTGTCTGTAGGCATAGTGCAAGCACTTAGGATTAAATTGAAAGTGTTCAGGTGAGTGTCGCCCTTTGATTTTTGACAGTTTGATGCCATGAAAAGAAAAGAAGCATTTCATTGTTGTTTTATGGATCTCACTGTTTGGATTGTGATTCTACATTTGAAAACAAAGCATTAAATGCAGTACCTTATTTTGACCCAATAAAAGCACCGTTTTGTTAAATGAATTTTAAAAGTGGCATGTGTTTTTTTTTTTCTCACTGGGGAAACCTCACTAATGCTAAAACATGTTTGTATTTAGAATGCATATGTGTTTGCTGAAAAAGACTGATAAAATCTTGCATACTATTTTGCAAAGAAATTGTGCGACGCCGCACAGAAATGTTCCGCAGAAGAAAGAAACTCGTACAAGCTTAGTTTGAACAACATGAGGGGGTGACAGAATTTGCGTGAGGTTTTGCCCCGCCCGTCGTTCACATTGCACTCTGACACGCTCGCGCCTCCGCCATCCACTCTCCCTCTGTTCTGCTCCTGCACAGAGGCGCTCCTTGCAAGCGGCAAGATGGCAATGAAATTGGCATACTGGGATATACGCGGGGTAGGAAATATTTTTTACAAAGTTTGCGTAAGGGTGGTTAGACGTTTAATTAATTTTTATTTAATATCTGCAAAATGTTTACTGCGTAACTACATCACAGAAGATTAGAATATCGCTCAGTGTGGTTTGTCATGTCTAAAATGCACAAATTTATATTTCATATATATATATATATATATATAGCTTGCTTAAAGTTAATTTTTTAGTGGACGGTAAGTCGATACTCTATTCTTGAACTAGTTGGAAAGTTTGGTACCGATGACTTTTTACTTTAAACATGGGCTGCAGAACTAGTCAGGGGTCTTTAAAGGATTTGTGGATAAATTTAACATGCTTTGTCTTGTCTCGCCACGCCCACTGATTCTTCGCTATATGTAAATTTTAAGTTTACTTGAAGCCGCTTCTTCGGGTGTGGTTACACCCCAACATGCACTGCAAATTAAGACTAAATGCCTGCGGCATTCTTTTAATAAGAGCTTTTCACTTTTCACACGAGTTTAAAGCCCTTGGCAAAAGATTATCTTCATACAAATTACTGATGGAAAATAGCTACAAAGAATAACTTTTAATACATAGAAATAAGATACACTTTACATCATCATATTATAATCTTATATTAATTACACGCTTTTATGTATAAAGAATTTACCCAGATTCAACATTATATTAATGAAAAAATAAACTTTTTTTTAAATCATCCAACAACATTATGAATACAACATGGTTTCTAGGAAAAGCAGCATGGAGTTGTAAGTGAATGAAACGTCCAACATTCCACTTTCCACTGTGTTTTCTCCGTTAAATAAGAGCATCACCTGGGTATTTGAATTGACTGCATGTTTCTGAAGATCTAAAGTCACCATGAAATTGGAATAGACTGTTTTTCATGGAATATTGCAGTTTTTATTGATTATTCCATGCACTTAAATATTATATAAAAAACACACAAAAGCAAACATTCTTAACCATCCTCCATCTTTCAGTCTGCTGCAAGCTAGAGATAAGAAAGTGCATAAAAATCAAGCCTCATTCTTTTTTTTTTTCTCTTTCGATATTCCAGTTTATTAGTGTTGCCCATCTCTTAAATATGCAAATAAGGATATTAACTTTAGTTTTTTAATATACAGTGTAATATCTTGACAATCAGTTAATTATTCCAAAAGTGAGAAAAACATGTTTCACAGCAGCTGAAGTTTGCTATATTTCATGGTTTTCCTCTGATTAAAGCTTGCTCAACCAATCCGTCTGCTGTTGGAATACACTGGTACCAAGTATGAGGAGAAGTTCTATTCTTGTGGTGACGGTAAGTGATGATTATTATAACATACAGTAGCAGACACAGTCAGATTGTCCATATAAAAGCACATTGAGCTGATTCTATATTCTTGCTTTGCAGCTCCCAACTATGACAAAAGCTGTTGGTTTAATGAGAAAGAGAAACTTGGGATGGACTTTCCTAATGTAAGTTACATAGTTACCCACATAGTGTTGCTCAGTATAACATGCAATAACTAACCACCATCATCCTTCACCAGTTGCCCTACCTAGAGGATGGAGACACGAAAGTGGTCCAAAGCAATGCCATATTGAGATACATCGCCCGCAAACATAACCTCTGTGAGTACTTGATTAATTTCTTCATTAAAAAAAGCATCACTGAAAATAACTCATGTAAAACATCTCTCTGTAATGTTTCTAGGTGGGGAAACTGAAGAAGAGCAGATGAGAGTTGACATCTTGGAAAACCAGGCGATGGATTTCCGCAGTGGTTTTGCCCAGCTCTGCTATGGAGACTTTGTGAGTGCCCATGAGCAACTTTAGTAGACTGTCTTAAGTGCTGATTGATTGTTTGAAGAAAATCTAAATTCTTTTTTTTTTTGTATACTGATAAGATAACGGGTGATTTGTAATACTTCACAGGACAAAAACAAACCATGTTACAGTGAGAAATTGCCAGGAACTCTAAAGCAGTTCTCTGACTTCCTTGGGGACAGGAAGTGGTTTGCTGGGGACAAGGTAAATAGGCATAATGTTTGGAAGCACTTTAATTTGTCCATTTTGTGATAGGAAAGAGATCATTAGTTTGACAAGCTCATCCCAGTTTTGGCTCATCCTGTAGATCACATTTGTGGACTTCATCATGTATGAGCTGTTGGATTTGCATCGCATGTTTCACCCGGAGTGCCTGGATGACTACAAAAACCTGAGATCTTTCCTGGATCACTTTGAGGTTTGGATTGAGTTTGTAATACAGAGTATCATTTGATATTCTTACGTAAATTGTAGTGTTAAAAATTGTGATTCTGATATGAATTGTGTTCCCTGTCAGAGTCTTAAGAAGATGGCAGAATACATGAAGTCGGGCAAGTTCATGAAAACACCTGTGAACAACAAGATGGCCAAATGGGGAAACAAGAAGGAGTGAAAATGACAAGATTTTGTCTTGATTTTTTTGTTACATTTTAACCTTCCCAATAAAAAAAGGATTAGTTAAAGTTACATCCTAATGATATAGTGTATTAGATATTTCCCTGTTCAGCTTTTCAATGTTTGAATTGTAAAAAAGCATGAACTTCAGGACCTTATTTTGACCTAATAAAGCAGAGCATTGTTGAGTGCAGTGCATTTAAACCTTATTGATTAGAAATTAAATGGTCATGAATGACAATGCAAATGTAAAACAGGTTTTTAAACCAAAGGCATCCTGATTAAATTCACTTTATTACTGTTGTGAGGTAAAACACAAACCCACAACTGGATTTTTGCCTTAAACAGGAAATTAAATGTAACAAAATATATTTAACCGCAAAATCAAAAGCTTACTTTAAGACCAATAAACTATGCCTACTAATGTGTTGATTATTAACCATTTATTAATATACAGTGCAAAATTAGCAAACAGTGTCAAGATCAGAGTGTTACAGACGTGATTCATTTTCATTTCACACATATAACAGCTACATAAAATACAGTACAATTAGACAAGTGCCCACCACCACAGTGACATCAGTGGAAATCAATTTAATGGAACAATCTGCATCAAATAAATAAAATGAATGCATTAAATGTATTCATCATTTGCATGTGTGAAGGGTAATATAACTGAACAAGTCTGTAGGCATTAGCCTTGGCTTGTTGTCTAATGAATGGAACTGCTGAGGAGTTTACTGAATAGCTCTTGTTCATTCAGGTTCAGACACGTTCAGATTCTTGCTATCGAAATGCACCGGTGTCCTCAGATTATCAGCGGCCACCATACTGGCTGTATTCAGCCTCACTGGCAAGCTGCAAAGGAAATGGAGACTGATGACAATTGTGAGCGCCGCCTCAGTCATTAAATGACCGTCAGGTATAAAACTACACTGAATACTGTGAGATCACTTCACCACAATGAAAAGTGCTCCATAAATAGGCGGGAGCTTACTTTGAACAAATAGAGCTGCATTACTTACTGCAACAGTCGATCTGACGCTCTGCAGTTGGAAGAATACTCGACCTCCTTCCTCAGGACATATTGCTCTGATATCATCCTGTTTCATTCCCAGCAACATTGCTCCATTAAACACCCCAAGACTCTGGACTGTCCTACACAAATACATGATGAATCAAGGGTGACAACAGGTTGATAAATGACTTCTTGAAGCATGTTAAGCTATTTCTGTTGTAAAGTGTCAGAACTACATTTTGGTGTAGTCTAGAATCAATGCACTCAGTGTGCTCTTCCAGCTAATTAAGTGTGAAGACCAATACATCCACAGTCAAAAATACTAGAAAAATGGTCCGCAAAATTGAATATAAATGTAACTTTTTTAGGTGCAAATGTTTTTTGTATTTTTGACCATTTAAAGAATAAAATTAAAGATGATAGAAATGGTTTCTTACATTTTCGAAAAGCCTTTGTACTGTAACCAGGCTTTGACTTCCTCAGGTCTAGATCTCATATCTAGAGATGGAGGTCCTCTCATATTTTGCTGAGAACATAGGGGGCAACATTCATAAAACAATGAATTGTGTATAGCAAAAATCAATTAGTTAGTTAAATATACAGCAATACATGTCCTGACCAAACAGTGATGAAAAACTGGGTGTCATACATTGACCAACCAGTTTTCATGTCTTCATATAGCTGAAATATGAATTAAGCCATTGTTTAGTATGTCCTTGATACATTATTGAAATTATTGTGTTTAAATAAAATGTAGAGTAAGAATACATTTGTAAAAATAAATAAAAAGAAAGAAAGAAAAGAAAATATGTGCATTGGCCATGACTTACTGTTGGCCTTTGTCCATCAGCAGGCTCTAGAACATTCTGAGGCACATAACCCTCCTCATTACGACTGTTTTTCACTTTCCACCATTGCCCAGACTTGTCGGTTACCTGTTTACATAAACATAGAAGTGTATGAACAAGAACAAACTATTTGTATGCATTTTCTGCTCACAGAAAAAAAGGTAACATTATATTTGTTAACATTAGTTACTACTTTAGTTACAATAGATTAAGATTAATAAATGCTTTTTCTTTGATAGTTCATGTAAATTTCAACATTTACTAAAATTATTAAAATCAAAAGTTGTACTTGTTACACATGAACTAACAATGAACAATTAACTTGAACAAAGATTAATAAATGCTTTAACAAATGTATTGCTTACTCTTTTAACTAACATTAGCTAGTGGAACCAGGGGCGCGGGTAGATGTTTTAGGTTGAGGGTGCGATAGAGGCTATTTACACTAAGTCAAAATAACAGTATTTTTTAGTTATATGCCATTTACACTAAGTGCAAATAGCTATAGATAGTTAAAATAGCAGGATATTCTGCTAATTACTGATTGCAAATAGTGTCATTTATCTGCACCTCAGCATTGTAATACATTATAAAACAGTGTGCAATAATAACTTGTGTAAATTTTAATTTTAATTCAAATTATTAAATGGTTGCAACCTTATTGGGACAAAAGCCATATACACCTAACCCTACCTGATACTTTTTCAACTTTTTGATTATTTACTTCATTTTTATTGAAATTAAATGTTTTTCTGATGTGATTTGAAATTTGAAAAGGGAGAAAAAAAGTTAGCCAAAAGTAAGATTCGAACCCGGGTCGATCGCGTCAAAAAGAGTATGACACACACTCTACCATCTACACCACTGAATCTTCAATTTCCTTAGTGTGGGGTGTGTGTTTAAATATCAATATGTTAAAGGTCAGGTTATTACCTGCACCATGTCACTCTTCATCAAACTCAGTTCCCGACTGTTTCTTGCCATAAAGTCATAGATCACCCTCATGTAGATTGGCGGCTCAGCTGACCTGGTATAAAATAAGACAAAAATGTTACTAGACTTAATTTGAAATTTAACTCTTAAATTCTTTAGTGAACTCATCTGTCCATTAAAAGGCTACATACTTATAAAGTGAAAAACAATGTTTTATATTGCTGTCACAACTGCCTTTATATTATCTGGGTATTTCAAAGGGAGTTCACATGATATGTCTCACCGCATGGGTGGGGCGTTCCAGGGTCTGTTGTCCTTGAAGAGAGGGTAAACAGCAATTTGTACTCATTTCACTTTATTATACCTTAGGTTAGGATGTATATGTGAAACACTTGACGTATTTTATGACATCCTCATGCTTAAATCAGTTGAAGTTTGCCCTCTGAGAGCATTTACCTGTTCAGGTGGCCTCTGCATGGCATTCCCGGGTGGGACGCGCTCACTGTTGCTCCGTGACAGCTGCCTGCTGGCGGGAGGGGACTGGGAAGGGCCAGGTGGAAGAGGCTGCCAACCATCATAAAATTTGGGATAATATGGAGGGATCTGATCCCCGTTTGGCCATTTAGATCTGATTAAAAAAATACAGAAACATCATGAGCTTTTCTCCTTTGTTTGCTAATCCGTGAAGATGTTTTTTTGTAGAATAGAAGACCTTGGGATGCTCCACGCATCACCCGAACTGCTCCACAGTACGTCCTCATTTGGTGTGACAGATCTTCCCAGGAGGTGCAGGGCTTTTTCTGTGAGCAGTGGACTCAGCACCGTGGGAGGGATGTTGGGAGGATACTGACTCACCATCTGAAGCATGAAGAAACAGTCAGGAACTGAGTGTGATGAGGGCTGATATGGTGCATCTCCTGCCCTTTAACCTTGTGATATATTGTAAGATTTCAGTGGTGAACAAGTTGCTAACTCATCAAAAGTAAAGCCTTTTCTCTGGACAAAAAGTACACTCTTGAAAATAAAAGTTTGAAAAGGGGAAGCTTTTGGAACCTTCTGTTGCGATACCATAGAAGAACCATTTTGGGTTCCCCAAACAACATTTCAGTGAACGGTTCTTAAAAGCACCCATTTTTCTTAGTGTGAAGAACACTGTGAAAATCTGAAGAACCTTTGTCCATTATAAAGAACCTTCTGTGTAATGGAAAATTTCCATGGATGTAAAAGCTTCTCCATGGAACCATAGATGCCAATACAAAACTGCTTATATAAATGCTTATACCACTTGTGCTTTCTAAAACATTGCTATGGTTTTGTAAATAGGTAACAGGTCAGGTGGGTCCTACTGACTCACCGACTGAAGCTTCAGGAGACAAAACAGCTTTTCTGAAAGTATGCTCATCCATTTTCATTGCATAATGAAAAAAATTTATGAAATGTGACTGCAATGCAAACAGATTGAACAAACGGATACTTACAAAAGCAAGGGAAGAAAAGAGACTGTGAACAAAATCAGAAACAGGAGGATTTTTTAGGTGACCATCTAGTTTCCCCTGTTACAAGTAGAGAAGAGTATGAAAACAGACATATGCAACAAATAAAAAACAGTATGTCTCATATTAAACATTATTTTTTATTGAAAATCATTTAACGAGACCACTGAAAAAATATCATTAATTCCATTGTACTTTAGAGACATGCCAAAACTAAAGTGATAGTAATAACACATTTTTTTGAAAGTATTAATTGAAGTAGTCTAATACTATCAAAGAAATTAAATGTATATAACTTACCAGAAGGTTGAAGCCATACTTTATTTTCTGCAGACAGGATATGTACTCTTCCACAGGGGGAATACTTGCAACTATAAAAAGCAAAAATAATAATAATAAATCTTTTCATGTTGACATCATGTAGATTTTTTAACATCCTTATAGGAAATTAAATGAAATAAAATTATTAAAACAAGCACTAGGTGTTAATTGTTCACCTAATTTTTTTGCAGCATTTTTCTTTTTCTTTTTTCCATCTTCTTTTGGCAAAGCTGAGCCTATTTTATATACAAAGGTCTCAATGTCGGCTGCTACATGGTTAAAAATATCCTGTAGAGAAAAGTAAATGGATGGAGGATGTGTCAATAAATTGATTTCTGTATTAGATGGATTAATAGCATGGTGTGATAAAATTGTCAGTAAAAACAACCAACCGAATCTCTCTCCACATCACTGAATGCAGGTGGAGCCTGCTCCTGCTCAGACTGCACTGGCCTGTAGGACGCTTCCTCTCTGGGAAATGGCATAGTGGGTGAAGGCCATCTATCATCTAGGAAACGATTATAAAAGGTTTTGAATTTGGATATATATTTAGACATTATGAAACACTACTTCACTGTGCTGATTTGTTGACTGTACCCCCCCAAAATTATGTATCTGTATTTTTGTATTTCCCATTTAATATGGCGAACATTTTTGACTGTGAAGATCACAATTTTTTTTAAAGACTTTTTTTCATTTAGCCATTTCTAATCATGTCCACAATTTTTTGTGTGCTCAAATAGCAAGAGCAACAGAAGTCATTACGTTTTGTACCTTTCTGTTCGGTAAAAAAAAAAAAGCAGTCTAAAGTGACTGAGAACACCCAGAGGGTTAATTTCAGGACATTTTAGGGTATTTAAAAGTGTATTTTTCTGAGTGAAATGAACTCTTCAAGTGATCACCATAGTCTTCATAGTTGTTGTACTGTGGAGGTGGGAATTCTGGGGGAGGAGGGTTTGGCTGCATGGGAGCTGGTCTCTTCATGCTTCCTGGATAACCCTGACCAATGATGCTTTCCAGATGGCTCCTGAGTAATAGAAAATATATCACTGTACAGCACTGATAAAAACTAAGGTTGTAGTGTAAGAGAAAAAAATAAATAATAGATCTTTGTTATTTAGATAATTATCACAAATAATCAATAATGTCTATTTAAAACATTACATTTTAGCACATTTAAAGGAAAAAAGTTCTTAGCACAACTTCTTTGCGAGGCAGCAGCTGACCTGATGTCCATTTGTGGTTCTTTAAGCAGAGGTGTGGCATCCCCTCCTTGCTGTATTACCTTTTCCAGATCATTTGCCACCTCCTGAGCCTAGCGATTTAAAACATCACACATACCTTTATAGAAAAATTCAGGGCACTGACAGAGGGAGTGGAATGGAAACTCCCCCATCAATCCACAAGATATTAAGACAGATTTATGCAGCACCATCAACCCTTAGATGAATCTAACATTTTTGACTATACATCAGAGTGTTGTTTCTCACCCCAATCTCCTCACACTGGAACAGGAAGGCCTGTGGGGCTCTCTGGCTAGGATCCTGAACTGAGATAATGAGGAGGGAGTCATACACACAACTGTCGAGAACAACTCTTGTCGCTCGGATTCTACTCAAATGCACAGACTCCAAAACCTCCTACAAATTCAGGAAACAAAGGAAGAGTTTAATGTTTAGTACCGGAACTAAGTGTTGTATAATGTATAAAGTATTTGTTCAGATTAGCGTATCACAGATTAGTGACCTTGGTCTCTATGTCACAAAGCTGTAGCTGGTTCGCCTGGACCTGCATGATCATGTCCTGACCCCACACTTTCCCTTTACTGTCCATATTCTTCAACCTGTTCACACAGTCATCAATGCTGCTCACCTCTCTGCCATCTAACACACAGGTGAACAGGTGCTAGGGAACGGAAGGAGAATTAGATTTTATGTTGTTTTATGATCACATATGAATCACACGCAGGCTATTGTTATAGAAGGCCTTGAGAAATTCAGCCTTACGTCATCAAATTTTCCAGATCAGTTTATGTGGAAATCTCTACAGTACATGTTAGATAAGCACTGGTTGTCTGTTATTTTCTATAACACACATTAGTGAAGTGGGTGTTGGCTTTCCTCTAATAAAGACTTTTTTTCATTTAGCCATTTCTAATCATGTCCACAATTTTTTGTGTGCTCAAATAGCAAGAGCAACAGAAGTCATTACGTTTTGTACCTTTCTGTTCGGTAAAAAAAAAAAAGCAGTCTAAAGTGACTGAGAACACCCAGAGGGTTAATTTCAGGACATTTTAGGGTATTTAAAAGTGTATTTTTCTGAGTGAAATGAACTCTTCAAGTGATCACCATAGTCTTCATAGTTGTTGTACTGTGGAGGTGGGAATTCTGGGGGAGGAGGGTTTGGCTGCATGGGAGCTGGTCTCTTCATGCTTCCTGGATAACCCTGACCAATGATGCTTTCCAGATGGCTCCTGAGTAATAGAAAATATATCACTGTACAGCACTGATAAAAACTAAGGTTGTAGTGTAAGAGAAAAAAATAAATAATAGATCTTTGTTATTTAGATAATTATCACAAATAATCAATAATGTCTATTTAAAACATTACATTTTAGCACATTTAAAGGAAAAAAGTTCTTAGCACAACTTCTTTGCGAGGCAGCAGCTGACCTGATGTCCATTTGTGGTTCTTTAAGCAGAGGTGTGGCATCCCCTCCTTGCTGTATTACCTTTTCCAGATCATTTGCCACCTCCTGAGCCTAGCAATTAAAAACATCACACATACCTTTATAGAAAAATTCAGGGCACTGACAGAGGGAGTGGAATGGAAACTCCCCCATCAATCCACAAGATATTAAGACAGATTTATACCGGGCAGATGCAGCACCATCAACCCTTAGATGAATCTAACATTTTTGACTATACATCAGAGTGTTGTTTCTCACCCCAATCTCCTCACACTGGAACAGGAAGGCCTGTGGGGCTCTCTGGCTAGGATCCTGAACTGAGATAATGAGGAGGGAGTCATACACACAACTGTCGAGAACAACTCTTGTCGCTCGGATTCTACTCAAATGCACAGACTCCAAAACCTCCTACAAATTCAGGAAACAAAGGAAGAGTTTAATGTTTAGTACCGGAACTAAGTGTTGTATAATGTATAAAGTATTTGTTCAGATTAGCGTATCACAGATTAGTGACCTTGGTCTCTATGTCACAAAGCTGTAGCTGGTTCGCCTGGACCTGCATGATCATGTCCTGACCCCACACTTTCCCTTTACTGTCCATATTCTTCAACCTGTTCACACAGTCATCAATGCTGCTCACCTCTCTGCCATCTAACACACAGGTGAACAGGTGCTAGGGAACGGAAGGAGAATTAGATTTTATGTTGTTTTATGATCACATATGAATCACACGCAGGCTATTGTTATAGAAGGCCTTGAGAAATTCAGCCTTACGTCATCAAATTTTCCAGATCAGTTTATGTGGAAATCTCTACAGTACATGTTAGATAAGCACTGGTTGTCTGTTATTTTCTATAACACACATTAGTGAAGTGGGTGTTGGCTTTCCTCTAACAGATTAAGAGTATGCATCAGTAACATGCAGTAAGCACAAATGGAACATTTTAAAATGATTAGTTATTAAGTGTAGTTAACAAACACATGAAATGGATTTAATCTTACCTCTACTCTGTACTGAAAGTTGTCTTGCTGTCTGCGGATTGATTCTGCATACTCCTTCCTTTGCACTGCATCAAAGTCAACTTAAATATATAGTATTATTTTAGTATATGTTGTTTAAATGGGATTTGTACTTACTGTAGATGGATTTGGCACTAGGACGAGACATGCCAGGCCCCTGGGACGGCGGCTCAGGTGAGAAGCCTCTATAATATAGTCACAACACATTATGTCTGTATGGACTGTACATATATCTTGTCAATTTAGTAATATCTATGTATTTTTATCATTTTATAATTGTAATAATATTGTATGTATATTATTATTGTATGGCCACAAAAAAAACAATGTACATTTCTTGATTTCTTGTTATTTCTAGTATTAATTCTGAGTTTATTCTAAATTGAACTATTCTTAACAAAAACCCACAGATGCTATAGCGCTATAGCAATATGCAGGATATGGCCAAAAAGTATGTGGACATTCATTTCTGATAAACTAGTTTGGCTATTTCTGTAATTTCAGTGAAATGGAATACTACACCAGATGATGATTCTGGACATATCTGGGTGTCCAGTTTTGTTGCAATAGTTTTGGGAGGTTACTTTTTTTGATTGACAACAAAGTCAACTTCATCCACACCAGATATCAACAAAACAGAATTAGAAATAATGACTGACATTACTTAGAAAGGGTCAAATATATTTAAAGGATTTACTAAACTAACAACAATAAAATTAAAATTGCCAAGTGTTAATTTTAGTTTAAGAATTATACTGTACACTGCCGTTCAAATGTTTGGGATCATTCAGTCATATTTTTAATGGAGTCTCTTATGCTCATCAAGGCATGACATGATTAAAATCATTATAATATAGCTGATTCATTATCACTGTTGAAACTGTTGTGCTGCTTAATTTTTTTTTGGAACATGTGATACTTTTTTTCTTTGATTCTTTGATGAATAAAAAGTTAAAAAATAACTGTTTATTCCAAATAGAAATGTTGTGGTACAATATACACTATTACACATTAGAATGATTTCTAAAGAATCATTGAAACTAGAGTAATGATGCTGAAAATTCAGCTTTGCGTCACAGGAATAAATTATATTATAAAGCATATTAAAAAAGAAAACTTATTTTAAATTCAATATTTCACAAAATA